CCGTGTGCAGCTTGATCGCGAGGAGGTAGTTACCTGTATAATGCTGTTGTTGCGCAGAGCGAGCAATATCACTATATCCCATCATTTACGGATTTGCATTTGAATTACGGGAGACGGAGAGAGAGCGTGTGTGTGCAACTAGAACACAAGGTCACGGATACTGAACTCCAGTTTTTACACCTATTTATGGCGTCTCCAGCGGAAAGGGAAGGACGGTTGGCAGTTTCTGCCAATGCCCGACCAAGCGAGGGGATCAAACAAACCAAGGAACGGCGACCAGGCCAGTTCTCAAGGCACCCAATCTCTCAGCTGCAGGGACCCTTCGAGGAATCGATACAGGAAGCCATTGGCATTGGGAACGGTAGATGGATAGCCAATATTGATGCTCAATCTCGGCGCAAAATCCTACTCGAAAGCCCCAAGTATGAACGGCTTTGTGGCAGGAAATGGCGCCAGAGAGCCGATGAAAGGCAAGCACTCGGTCGAGCTCCGGTCCCTTGGACTCGCTCAGCAACATTGCAAACTGACTGCCTCTAGATATCACCCCCTATGGAAACTCATCGCCCAGATGTCCTTTGGGGTCCACCTCCTAGTCGGAAAACTCGCCAAGTCCGACGTGGAGGTCTTGAAAATCCTTCAGGTTCATGTAGACGAGATGGATGGATTTCTTAAGAGGACCTCGGAAGATTTTCTAATCATCCAGATTGATGTGCGCACACGGAGTAAGTATCTCAGCCTACCTCTCGAGAATCTAATGATTTTCGATGAGATGCTGGAGGAGCGCAATTTCCGTGGCTCTATGATCGAATATAATGACAGGATCGAACACGCCATTGATCGATTCGCAACTGCGATCGAAGATTCCCTGAAAGACATCCAAAAAGGCCGGGAGGCGGTGGGTGCGCTGTGGACATACCTTCAACAGTCAGCCGAAAAGCATAGTCCATTGCCTGTTAGACTACTGGCTGTCTACCAAGCTATGCTCGCAAATGCGGAGGGCTGGAACATAGCACTTTCGAATCTCCGTCGGAAAGGTGTCGCTCTACAATCGGCCCTTCTTCAGCTTGGCCTAGCCACGACAGAACTGCAGCGACGTGTGGGAGTAGCAAGTCGAAAAGCTGTTGTAAGTTACCAGGGTACTGTCAAACCCATAACTGCGTGCCCGAGCTGAGATTTCGACAGGTGTCCTACATGCGAAGTACCAATGGATTGACCCGAAAGAAATCACTGCGGCAACGATTCATGGAGAGAGGCTCATTCGTTAGCGCACCGGCCTCGACTCCGAACAAACCTCTTCCCCGTGCTCCGGACCGTCCGGCGACGGCGACCCTCTCCCGGTCGACTGACCGTAATAGGCTCACGCAGAAGAGTGTTCCGAATCTCAGGGCGGCAAGGGAGAATGACGAGCGTAATGCGCACACGAAGCTACCAGACCGAGCCAAGTCTGTCAACGGTACTACTGACGGCTTTGACTCGGAAGGCTTTGTGCTTAAGCTTCGCCGTCTCTCCAGATCCAAGCTCAGAACAAGGGAACTTGCAAGCGACCATCCTGAACCCCTACCAGTGCGCCCTTCCACTGCACCTTCCAGGGCATCGAAAGCTCGAAGTATATATCTGGAACCACTGAAGTCCCTGCACAAAAGCAAAAGGGAACCAAGTCAGAAGGCTCATACTTCAATGGTGCCAGCCCAAACGGAACGTCCGGTTGCTGCTCAACCTTCAGCGAGACGAGAAACGATGAAGAACCAGTTACTGCAGTATTTCAAATCCGACAAAGTGGTTGATGCTTGGGAACATGAAACGCAGAAAGAGAAAAACAATACCGAGGATTCCTCCCAGGCCAAAAAGGCCGGCCCTTGGAGCGAGTTTTGTGCAGAGTCGTCCATCAATGACGATGGCTGTCTACAAATAAAATCGGACATGGTCGGATCTGATCTGAACAATGATATGGCATGGCTCCAGGAGGATGCTGGTGCGATGAATACTTATTCCTTAAAGCCAAAGAGGGATGTCGGGCCCAGGATCCACGTCCTTTCGGTCCAGTTTAGCCTTGCGCAGGATGATAACGAACTAGAAAACCAAGACCTTGATGCGGAGCTTGAAGATACACAATCGGTCATAACAGCTCTTCCTTCCATACCAGCCGCGCCGGTGAATACGGAAGAATTTCATCCATATTCGCTTTATCCTGGATACACACTCGGGCATCCCTCTGAATCTGCCACGGTCTTCACCTGATAAAGCCTGGATATTTTCAGGCGGCTTCAAGCCTGCCGGGCATGCCATGTGAAAGTCACAAGTTCAGTCTCACTGGGGCCGAAGTACGCCACACATTGTTGCTTTACCAACTGATCCGTTTGCGATATTGAACAAGGCAAGCAGCAAGTCCTTGTGCCTTTCGGGCCCGGGAATATCTTGTAATACCCCCAATACGGATGCTACTCTGTACGACAAATTCTAGTTTCGGCCCTATGAGCCACGCGACCAGAACGCAAAGGCAGTGCAACCACATCAACGACAACAAGATGGGGTGAAGCAAGTATCTATCTATCCTCTGTTGTATATGCGCCTACGTATTTTCGTGTTCACCTTGTAGTTAGGTCGCGGCGCTCCCATGTCAGACGGAACCTTGAGTACCTCAGCAGCTTTGCGGCCATAGGAGCTCGTCTACTGGCCTACGCGCGTAAGATGCACGGCGCAGTACATCTAGCTGGAACCAGTAAACAATATAAAGAAGAGACAGTTACGTCTCGATATTCACACCGGAATTAAATCGTATTAACGGATGCACCGATTCTCCTAGGCTGTAGTCATGAATAGCACACGAAGGTGTTCAGAAAATGATTACGGGCAGTAAACAACAGAAGGTAGAAAAAGGAACATAAATTTTAGAGAGAAGGCGGAGGGGAAGATTGAAGGACGTATAAAAGACGAGTAAGATATCACAAAGGCAATCTTCTACTTGCAGCGTTTCTCGACAATATTCGGACCATGTTCGTCAAACTCCTTCTTGGAGATCCACATCTGATGGAAGGTACCCAAACTGGCGAGGATACTTCCACCGATCCAGGAGCCAAACTTCCGCTCCGCGGTGTTTCCTGGGGCCGATATACGAACGCGTGGACCTGGGAACATCTGCATGAGCTCCTGGTTCAAACGGTCGGTGAAACCGTAGAGTAAGCTGGAGGCACCTGTGACAACAACGTTAGCCAACAAGTGCGGGCGGATGTCGACGTCGACGCCGTTCAGCGCATTCTTGATGAGCTCGGGCACAGTTTGTGCCGGCGTCGGTGCGGGGAATGCCGATTCGGGGTCCGGGATTGCAGCTTTGGCGTCGAATAGCGATTCGACGACCTTGTAGCGATCGACTCCGAAGACCTGGTTGTAGCCGTCGGGGAACTCGAAGGGCCGGCCAGGGCTGCTCTTGGCCAGTTCCTCGTTCGAGACACCGTTCGGTCCTGTGGCGGAGAGCTTGTTGGGGCCGGGCCAGACCTGGACAACACATTCCTTGAACTCCGACAGGGTTCGCTCTTCCAGAAGTGTTCTGTAAGATGCGTCAGGAGCTCTGTCGGGGGCGAAAGTCTTGTATTTAGCTTGTGGGGGTTGGCCGGCATCAACTGCTGTCTTGGAAGAGATCAGGTAATGAGGAGTGATAGTTATCGGCTGCGGGGCGTTCGACTTGAAGAGAGCGCGGATCTGAGATGAGATATAATCACCACCGAGAGGGGAGTGCTGCACTCCCCGCTTCAGTATCATACCGTCGTGGACCGGGGTTACGGAGATGTTAGAAGCGCCAATGTCAATCACAAGGGCGGAAGCCTTGCCGGCCGCAAAGCTTTAGGCGAGGAAGCATGTTAGCGAAATCTACATAAGACTCAGGCCATCGAACTGACAGGTCGGTACTTACGCTGAAAGAACACCGTTCCTGGCTAGATAGAAGGCCGGGGTTCCCCATTTCTCCATAGCAAGCTCGATAGTCTTCTCGCGCGACTTCGTGGGATTCCAGCCGGGCTCCGACATCAGCAGCGGGCTATCAGCAAGCAGCTTCTCCTCGGTTTCCACCCCTTCCATTTCTGTAGATAATTCGCCCTCCGGCACATCGTTCAATCCGTTCTGTAGGGGATTTCCAGGCTTTGGGCCCGTCAGGCGCGAAGTGAAGGCATATTCCCATACTTTCTCTGCCATGTCCCAGTCCTCCACGATTCCATCGCGACCCATTGGGTTGTGAATCGACAGACCGGGCCGGGGCGTAACAAAGATATCATCACCGAAGACCAACTTCGACTGGCCATCTGAAGAATATTTCCCGTAGTATGTCGGAATCAGGGATTTGGGTGTGTCCTCCCCTGCAAATCCAGCTCGTGTCGTCGAGAAGCCGGGGTCGAGCACAATCGCCGACACCTCATCTAGACATTGAAGGGTCAGAAGTGCTAACAAGAAAGTATCGCGCAAGGAATAAATGTGTTCTCAGCTACGCGCAACAGAGGAATTGACATACCTCCGCCATATTCAGCCGTGGAAGGTGGGATGGAGGGATTCATGGTCGGCGTAGACGAGCCAGGCGAAAGGTTTTAGGATGGTTCACTGCCCGAATTCAACCAACGACGCCGATGTGGGAGGGAAAGAGTAATCGAAATTGACGACGAGCGGTGGGGATCTTGTAGCCAACGGTTGCAGCGGGGCAGTTGGCAGAGGTAGAGGTAGTAAAAGAAGCGATTAGAGCAGATGATTGATTGATAGTGGAGGAGGCACGGGTAACTACTAGTTAACTAACTTGAGATGATTGAATGAATAATCGCGGCGCGGCGGGAAGAGCGCGCCGGACTCTATTATCTACTACGTACTACTACCGATTGCTCACCATCTACCGCCATCGCCTCGGTCTTTTATCTCCTTGTTTCACTGCACAATAATTCCTTCCGACCATTCTCTCCATATAAATTATCTCTCAGTGCCAAGTGGGATCTTTATCTGTCCCGGGGAATTCAGGGACTTACTTCATGGAGCCAGAAATTGACCCAGCCTCCCTCTTCCGGCCGGGCAAGAGGCGGAAGTTCCAGCGACGCCGGCCAGAGGACAACGACGAGGAATCGCCTTCTGCGACAGAAGATGTTGCTCGTGTTTCAGAATCATCTACACCTCCGTCCTGGCAGGATGCCCCAAGCTCTGTCCCCACAGCAGAGATTCTTCGTTCGCGACGGCTTCAGCGAGCTCGAAAGGGTGGCATCGAATTCTCCGCCACCTCGCGGCCACCGGCCGGTAAGAATAGTCAAACGGCCGTTTCAACCGTGGCGGAGGAGGATCAAGAAAATGAAAGATTGCGAGCAATGTGCGATCGATTCACGGCCCATACTGGCCAAACAGTTGATGTTGACAAGCATATGTACGGCTCCCCCGTCTCTGTTTCTGTGCTTCGCATGCGCTCCAGCTGCAATGGCGACTAACAAGATAAGGATGGATTTTATAGAGTCTGAAATGGCTAAGCGATACCGGCGCGATAATTCGACCGAGGTTGCGATGCATGATACACCTTCGGCGACTGAACCGAAAGCGGCTGCTCTGTCTTCTGCTGACCTTCCCCAACGCGAACCGGCGTCTCTTGGGAAACTGCACGAAATTGATCTTGGTCACGAGACTACGTTGCAGAATATTGCCCGTACAGAGGCAGCGACGAAGAGACTCGCCGGGGATGGCGATCAAAGCCCACCCACCGAGCAGAGCTCCGGGCCCAAGATGGCCCCGGCAAATGGGGACCAGAAGACGTGGCGCAATCGGAAACGACGGACGAGTGAAGACATCGAACGAGATCGACTGGTGGAGGAAGTATTACGGGAAAGTAAATGTGAGTCTTCCTTACGGTTCATGATATTGCCTTGGGACCAGATTTATCTGGGAGGTTTTTCTTCCTTTTCCAAGTCCTTTGCGCTGACGTATATGTCGATATTCAGTGGATGTCTACGAGGGGCCAGAAGAGGAAGGTGACGAAGCAGTGGGTGAGGATGGGCAAGCGGCCGATGATAGGGTGGCAGAGCAGTTCAGAAGGGACTTTCTCGATGCCATTCAATCCCGGCGTCGTGTTGCGCGAGCAAGGAATACGAAGACAACCAAGCCTGAGGCTCCGCGCGGGCCCAAATTGGGAGGCAGTAGAAGTGCCAGAGCAGCGATGCGGGAGATGCAAGATAAGTCTACCCGTAAATGAGACATTGAACGTTGAGGGAGTTAGTATATATAGAATTCCCAGGAAATACATTTGGGAAGCTAAAAGACTTGAGGCGGGGTCAATTGGTATATTATCTTGTCTTTACTTCTCACTAATATGAATCAAGCTCAAGATTCAACGTCTATTTGGAATGCAAATAGATTCAGGGAAGGGGCCATGACATACATCCAGTAATATATGTACTACTAGTAGTAGTATCTCATGGGGCATCTGTTTGGCTATGTACTAGTATAGATAGATGTATATATTTATTCAACTCCACCGAGAGGAAACGCGGCATCGGTGGAGAATACCAGAACTGGAAAATATCTCCCCTCATCCACCTCCCTCTTTTTCTCCCTCGCCAGTTTTCCTTTGCCAATATTTTGTTTTCTCTGTAGATTCATTTTCCCAAATTTACAATCCTCCAAGCAAACAATGGCTACACAGAAAGCTGCCCAGTGGGCAGCATCCCTATCGTATTCTTCGCTACCTCCGGACGCCCTCCAAGCGGCCATCCGGAGCTTCTACAACTGGGTCGGCTGCACTGTCGGGGGCAGCAATCACCCCGCTGCTTCCATTGCCCGGAACTCTTTGTCCCGCTTCTTCGGGTCTCCCACCTCAACATTGTTAGGTACTAATGGGCTCCAAGCTGATGCGCAGCATGCTGCGTTGATCAATGGAATTGCATCGCATGTCCACGACTATGATGACACGCACTTGGAGACTATCATACACCCTACCGGGCCTGTTGCGGCAGCTCTTCTAAGCTTTGCGCAGTCACTAGATCGGCCAGTATCTGGACAAGAATTCCTCACGGCTCTCGCCGCAGGGATAGAATTAGAATGCAAGGCTGGTCTGGCTGTCTGGCCGAGCCACTATGATGTCGGCTGGTATGTCTGCTAGGCTTCTCGCCCCCACGGAAACCCCAAAACTGCCCTGTCTGGTGGACTGACACCATTCTTTAGGCACATCACTAGTACTACTGGCTCAATTGGGGCAGCAGTGGCGGTGTCTCATCTCCTCGACTTGAGCCCAGAGAAGACGGCTCATGCTATCGGTATCGCCGCTACCCAGGTGACTGGTCTTCGTGAGATGTTTGGCTCGCACACCAAGTCCTTTCACCCTGGGCGCGCAGCCCAAAATGGTCTTCTAGCGGCTATTCTTGCTGCAGATGGATACACCAGTTCTTTGCAGGCTCTGGAGGCCAAGCGGGGCTGGGTGAAGGTCGTGAGTAACGACGACAAGCTAACTCAGCAAATTGACAGCCTGGAATCCAATGGAAAATGGGAGCTTGCAAAGAACGCCTTTAAGCCGTTCCCGTGTGGTATTGTCATACACCCGGTCATTGATGGCTGTGTCTGGCTACATGGTGAGCTGCAACGGCGGGGCCTCAGACTGCAAGATATCAAGAGTGTTCATGTCACAGTTCACCCACTGGTCTTGGAGCTAACGGGAAAAACAAAACCTAAAGATGGGCTGGAAGCCAAGTTCAGCGTTTATCACGGCGGCGCCATTGGCTTGATTCACGGAAAGGCAACACCGGCAGAGTATGAAGATGCCGTTGTCACAAATCCGGAAACAATCGAGGTACGAGACAAGTTTGTGGCAACGGCGGCAGAGAATATCCGAGCGGATGAATGCCGGATTCTCGTTGAATTTGGAGCCCCGGGCGTCCAGATAGAGAAGCATGTGCACCATGCAGTTGGCAGTATCGACGCCCCCATGACAGACAGCCAGCTCACGGAGAAATTCATTGGCCAGTGTAGTTCAGTTCTTGGCCCAGAACAGGCAAAGATAATCAGCGATTGGTGCTGGAACTTGGAAACAAAGGATGACATCCGGCAGATTGGACAGTTCCTATAGGCCATCGAAGCCGCATCTGGGGATAGCGGAGAATGATCCTCCGCGGAGAAAATGCGGGGAAAGACGGTTCCCGTCTTGTAGGAGATAACAATGTGCGATCATATAGCCCTTGACTTTGTACAAATGTGCGGGGAACGATGTTAAGAGCCTCGGAATTGTTTTGCTCATAAAGGCGATGGAAGCCTGGAACGGAGAGCACGGTTGAGGAGACAGCGATCTGTATCTACTACCTAGACAGCCAACAATCTAGCAACCATGAGCAACCGCACAGGGGATGCAGTCGAGAATCCTGACGTAAAGGCAGATGTATCAGAATTGGAGTATGTGAAGGGCAATGCTCCTGGAAATGCTGGCCCGACTTTCAGCATAGAGGATGAGAACCGCGTCTACCGCAAACTCGACTGGAATCTGATGCCGCTGGTCTTCGTCCTTTATAGTCTATCGGTTCTTGACCGCTCGAATCTGGGAAATGCGAAGATCGCAGGCATGGTAGATGACATAGACTTGAGTGGGAGGCGGTATGATTGGCTTGCTACTGCTTTCTATATAGCCTGTGAGTTATGAACCTTACCTAGACCATCAATTGCTTCTTGCAGCGACATGAGAAATCTGCTTGATCTTGGTTAGAGCATCTCCTAACAAGCGCAATCAGACATTCTGTCGCAATGGACGACAATCGGTTGGAAAGCGTTCCCACCACACCGGTGGGTAGGTATCACTGTGTTCCTATGGGGGTTTGTTTCGACTATTCAGTCAGCATGTACAAACTGGGCCGGCCTGATGGTCTGCCGAGTCTTTCTGGGAATAATCGAGGCGATGTATGGGCCAGGGGTGCCCTTGTATCTGTCCTACTTTTATCCGCGTGAGAAACTCGGCCTCCGGACTGGCATATTCTTGTCAGGAGCTGCTCTAGCGAACGCATATGGGAGTGCTCTGGCGTATGGAATTTCCCAAGCCAAAGGGTCAATCGGACCATGGAGGATCCTATTCATCGTGGAAGGTGTGCCGTCATGCCTTCTGGCCATAGTTGCTTGGTTTTGTCTGCCCGATTCACCCAAGACAGCAAGATTTCTGGATGAACGGGAGCAAGAAATCGCGGTTGCACTCTCCTTACGACAACCTGGGGATCGAGAAACCCAGGGTCTGCAATGGAAGCAAGTGCTGGGATCCTTGCTTGATTATACGAGTAAGTACCCAAAGGCACCAGTCCTCCTGTGCCCCCTCTTCTAATGCATCCAAATAGGCTACCCCCCAGCACTAATGTACTTTGGATGCAATGTCTGCTTCGCCTCACTCCCATTATTCGTGCCGACCATCATCTCTGAAATGGGGGCTTTCATGACCATCCAATCAAACGGTCTCAGCGCTCCTCCATATGTCCTTTGCTGGATAGCCATTGTCATCAGTGCATTTCTGTCGGATCGCGTCAACTTGCGCGGGCCCTTCATCGTGGGTGGCGCACTCATAGCTGCCATCGGATACATTGTGCTAGCTACGCAGACCACGGTGGCAGTCAGGTACTTTGGCCTGTTCCTGGCGACCCAGGTCTTTGTGTCCGTAGCTCTCATTCTCACATGGGTTGGTAACACACACGCCACAGACTCCAAGCGCGCTGGAGCCTTTGCTATCTTGGCTACTGGCGGCCAATGCGGTCCGATTTTAGGGACGAATGTCTTCCCTGACAGCGACAAACCATACTACCGCAAGGGAATGTGGATCTCGTGCGGCGCATGCCTGATTGTAGTGGTTATGGGATGCTGGCAGATGTATCTGCTATGGCGGGCGAATCGGCATCTGGACAGGGAATCTGAGCAGAATGGGGGCGATTTGAGTGGGAACCAATCCGAGGGGAAGAATGAAGCTGACAGGCCATTCCGGTATATTTTATGAAGTAATCAGATGGGGGTCTATTATGAGTAAGAAGGATTACTACACAGGCGCACCTGCAGATGATATCAGCCATGAACCTGTGTATTCAAGTATGTATCTGATTGACAAAGTGCAACTTGTGGGATAGTAATGTTAAGAAAGAGTATAGGTATTCATATTAGAGGCATCTTGATGTCGTGGATTGTTTTCTAGAACCATGGTCCAGGAACCAGGCAATGGATCCGCTGGGGGAGGAAACGCATTCCTCAGACGTCGAGACCGACCATGGACCCGGTCTGGAAGGGCCTTGAGCTTTGAAGAATGGGAAAGCTGAAGTATGGGATCGAGCCAACAAAACGCAGAGTGTGGAATGTGGAGTCGGGGACCTGCTCCAAGACCATGGGATAAGACCACATGTGATACTTGAACTTGACGACCTTTTGTCTGTAGATACATACAGGATTATGTATCCAGTTCGACCAGTAAAAGGGACAAAACGGTTTGGACCGTAAGCACAACAATACGCAGGCTGCCATCAAGAGACTACTATCACTCATTCAATTACTCTCACTCTCACTCAAAAGAGTGCCGGAGTCCTAATTCCCGCCCCACTGCGTGGCTTCGGCAGAGGATTGGGCCACACGATTTGGCCCATGATGGAGCCATTGTCGCCCTGACCCCCCCAACGAGGCAGGACGTTTGCCAACCGCGTCTGATTATCTACTAGTTCTAGATGTTTGAGACTCCCCCCGTGTGAGCGAAGTGATGTGGGAGAAAGACAGAAATAAAAGAAAAAAAATTGGTTGAGCCCAGGTTGAAAGTTTGACGGTTATCTGTCCATGACAATGGGCTCCATGAAGAGAAAGCTAAACGATGATCGACCTTTCGAACATACTATCAACTGCTGACAGGAAGGGGAATACTTGGTTAACTACTGATTCTGCACAGCTGACGGATATTGGCAGGGTAGGGCAGGGCAGGGCAGAGAGGGCCAAGTCACTTCCCACGACCCCCACTACGCAGCTTACCGACCAAGACTGAATTGACGGTGTGTAGGCGAGATGGTACGTCTGGAGTAGAATGAAGTAATTATACCAGGGCCATCCTTGCAATTTTATTTCGGGAAACTGGGAAATGAGAATAGTAACTCGAATAATCAATCAACACGGACGGGAAGGTTGAAAGTCAAGCTTCTATCGGCTGGTAACTAGACCACTAACTAGTCTACTTGTTAGTTAAAAAAGGTCAATTTCCTCCCCCCCCTTCCTTGACCCATGATCTTTTGACTTTGGAATCTTCACTAGGCAGGCCACTCCATGTGCATAGAAAAAAAAAAGTTAAAAAGTAGCGCAGACAGAGAGAGAGAGAGAGAGAGAGAGAGGCAATCAGTCAACTAGCCTATGTTAGTACAAGATTTTCATCGTATCTTTGCTATGAATAGTTTGAGTCTCCATTTTCAGGTTTCACAACGAGACTGACTTCATGTATCGTGACTGGGTTTTGTGCCAGGACGGTGGCGCCGGGAAAAATAAAAAAAACGATCGAGCCCAGAAATAAGACGACTAGCTTCATTAGCGGCAAGTCCAGACTGGCCCCAGCCGCCCGTCCCTGACCAACCCGCTGCTCTTCTGGGGCGGGGACCTGATTACATGCCCAATGAGAAGCTCGCATGGGGCGAGTTTCGAGACACTCAGGGGCAACTTAGTACTCCCAGTTTGTGTATGGTCAGAGTCTCGACTCTCGAACCACCTGCCGGGCCAATGGTCGTTAGCCAACAATAATACCCAATAACATTACTACTACTATCTAGTACCTGACAGTAGGAAGTAGTACTACTAGAGTGGTGGTAACGCAGAGGACGGGCTGTAAGTAGCAGGTAACTTTAGAACAGAGAGAAAGAGAGAAACGAGACAGTGACTGACCGAGACAGGCAGCTACTCTACTATCCAGTCCCATCCCATCTCATCTTTCCTTTCACACATCACTTCCCCTCCCTCTCTTCTCTTTCCCCCTCCTCCACCCCCATCATCCTCGGAGTCTGGTTGTCTCCATCCAACATTCGTTCTGCATGGTTCTTTCTTTCTTCCCTTTTCGTCGCTCATCCGTCGGTTTGATCTGTTAGCCAGCATCTGTCCCTTTCGCGCGTTTCCACTCCTTACTCACAACCCTATCACTCACTTTCTCTGCCTAGCCGCGCGCCCTCCTCAACCCACCACCCCCCCCCTTTTCTTCAGTCTCAAGAGTTGAGCGCCTATCCTCTTCTCTCGTGCTGGCAAACAATCTGCTTGCCCACAAGACTCTCTTTTTCTCAAACCTCTCTGCCCCCGTGCTTCATGAATCGCGCTCTCCTGCCTCCACTCCCTTAACGTTTGCGACGGACAGCGAGTGACACAAGTCAGTGAGAGGGTGTGGGTGCGGTCCTCACACTCTTTGGAACGGCATCCCCTCTCGTGGCTTGCTTCGATATCTTGTATTGCGGTTCTGCACACTCTTTCGAGCCATCTGTTTGCAGCTTCAACAGTTTGATTCACCTTCTCTAAGCGATTTCATTCTACACAGGTTGATCCTGTCAACAATCTCCGTATCATCAGGCGAGCCTAGTTGCTGCTTGATCTTGATCGGCGATTCAATCTTGCGTCAAATATACCCTTATAATCGTCGCCAATCTTTCGAAAAGGAACTCTCCCTTACCTGCATAACCCCTGTGAAGACTTTCTTGATGCTGGCACCTTGAACATTCACAGCCTTGAGTAACAACATCCATCAATTGACAATATGCGGATCATTCCTTCTTTTTCGACCCTTACGGCGCTGGGTCTCCTGGCCACTCGAGCCCTCGCTGCCGACACCCTCAGTACCAATGGCCTGACAACTTGTATGTCAGACTCGGCTATCCAAGTCGACAAACTATCCGTTACATACACCCGTTCTACTAGAGAGATCGTCTTCGATGTTTCCGGCACCAATGGGGTAGAACAGAATGTCACTGCCATCTTGACCATCTATGCCTACGGCAGTCAACTGTACTCCGAAACTTTCGACCCGTGCAGCAGCAAATACTACGTGGAGCAACTCTGTCCCGTTGCTGCCGGTAGCTTCTCCGCGACTGGCACCCAGACCTTACCTGAATCGATCGCCAGTGAAATCCCTTCCATCGCCTTCGCCATCCCAGACTTGGATGGTCAAGTGAAGCTTCAATTGCTGTCCAAGACCGACAATGACGAGCTGGCATGCATTCAATCGGAATTAACCAACGGCAATTCCATGCAGATTGCGGGTGTATCCTATGCTGCTGCTGGTGTGGCTGGTGCGGCATTGGCCGTGAGCGGGCTGTCAGCTCTGGGTGCTGTTGGCCACCCTGGTGCTGTCTCGTCTAGTCCCAGCTTCGGTGATGTCGTGAGTTGGTTCCATACCATGGCCACTAATGGAATGCTCAGTGTCAGCTATCCGACGGTGTACCGCAGCTTTTCTAAGAACTTTGCCTTTAGCACGGGCTTGATCCCTTGGGGTCAGATGCAGGAGTCCATCGATAACTTCCGAAAGTCGACCGGCGGAAATCTCACCGACAACAGCTACCAGTATCTTATCAATGCCACGCTCGTGTATTCTGACGGCACGAATTCTAGTTCCAAATCGAAGCGAGGACTGGATCTGGTTACAGGCTTGGCTAACCTAGCTGCGCGCGAGGTTTCGACTTCGTATAGCAGCAACACTACTTCGTCGTCTAACAGCACCAGCGATGATAGCAGTAGTTTTGAACATTTCGTCTCCGGTATTGAGGCCTATGCCGAACAGCTCACCATCCCTCAAGCCAATACCTTCATGACTGTTCTGCTCATTTTCGCTATCCTAATTGCCGCTATCGCCGTTGGTATCTTGCTGCTCAAGGTCATCCTCGAAGTCTGGGCTCTCTACGGCTCTTTCCCGGACAAACTTACCAACTTCCGCAAAGACTACTGGGGTCTCCTGGGTCGGACCATTACCAACTTGATTCTGCTGCTGTACGGCGTTTGGGTGATCTGGTGTGTCTATCAGCTCAGCAGTGGGGATTCATGGGCGGCGAAGCTCTTGGCTGCTGTGGCGCTCACAGTTTTCACGGCTGTGTTATTGTACTTTGGTCTTAAGATCATGTTCGTGGCTCGAAAGTACAAGAAGGCCGAAGGCGATGCGTCCCATTTGTACGACAACGACGAAACCTGGCGCAAGTACAGTCTTTTCTACGACAACTACAAAAAGGACTACTGGTGGGCTTTCGTCCCTGCCATTGTATACATGTTTGCCAAGGGTTGCGTTATCGCTGCTGGAGATGGTCATGGGCTTGCCCAAAGCGCTGGTCAACTCATCGTGGAGGCTCTCATGCTCACTCTTCTGCTGTGGAACCGTCCTTACGTTGCCAAGTCTAGCCAGTGGATCAACATTTCAGTCCAAGTGGTTCGTGTCTTGTCAATCGCGTGTGTGTTAATCTTCGTCGACGAGCTGGGACTTTCGGAAACGACCAAAACTGTTACCGGCATTGTCCTCATTGCTATTCAGTCGGGACTGAGTGGTATCTTGGCCATTCTCATTGCCACCAACGCCATCATCCTCTGCATTCGCGAAAACCCTCATGCTAAACGGAAGAGGGAAGCTAGTAAGTGATCTGGTCACCGGGTTTGACACTCTTTGCGTTGCTGACTGTTGTGTTATTAGACAAAATGAATCGTGACCTCGACGATCTGACCCCTCTTGACGCCCGTGAATCTCTGCTCATGGAGCATCCTCCACGCAAGGATTTCGCTGAAATGAGCAAGTTCAACTTTACCGGTCCTTACGAACCTTACCGGGATCAACATGATTCGAAATCGCGACACAGCCCTACAGGTAGCACGGATCGGTTGGTTGATTCAAGCTATCCCCTTGAAGACATCAATGGTCGAAGTATAAGTCGAGAAAGCCGCCGAAGCCATGACAGCCATGAAAACCCCGAAAAGCACCATGCCACAACCCCGGGCTATGGGTTCGCTTACTGAAGCCCGTTTGCGCTGGATGGCACTTGACGACGTACCAATATTTATTTTTCTCGACCCAATATTCATCTTACATATTGAACATAGACTTTTTGTGTCAGGCAAATTTGACGAATTTAGCGTACTTGATTTGGTTGATGGTGGATCTTGGTATTTATTGCAATTTTGTTACGCCGCTCCTTTTTCCCTCTCTGACTCTCTTACTACCCTTTGTCTGCTTTTCTGTTCTGTCCCATCTGATTCCCACCATGCCATTGCCATTCATACCTAGTTCTAGCTTTCAGGCTTTCTTGTAAATTGGCGCTCATAGGGGATTGCTCCTACGCATTGTCTTGACCCCGTTATTGTGGATAGCCTGCGGGGAAATAATGCGTTGACAGGACGCGCAAGCTGCACTCTCTGCTCACACACTCAGCCGGATTTGAGGGTGCTGAGACCTACATCTTGTACTAGAAAGATAGAACTCCAAATTGAAAGCATTCAATCTAAATATACTCATCCCTAGTCATGATCATAGCGATTGCAAAACCCGAACTGGATGGTCAAGGTCATCTAATACCTGGGAAAACTTGGTTTTGACTACGTAAGTCCTGCAGCTACGTTGCGATGAGTGCAGGATACGGCTTGGAGTTGGGAAAACAAGAACAGTGATTTTGGTTTTCGAACTGAAACGTTGACATAAGAAGTACTGAGGGTAACGCCAATTTAGATTATATGCAACAACACCGACTCTTGGTTTTTCTGGTTCGATGAAACCTTCCGCCGAGGAGACTCCAGACTTCGACAGGGGGTAAAAAGCAGCCATGAGAGGGAAAATGAATGAAAGCATCACTCGGAAAGTTACATTAGACATCATCAATGATGGCAGGACGTCGCCTCCCCTCACCAACCGTTGTAATGGTCATACTATGAGTATGAGATAAGATAGACCCATCCCCCCATTGTTACGAAAGGCAGCAGCAGTTGCAATAGGGGAGGCGGGAAAACTTGATGGGAGGAGGACCAAAACCATGACAGTAACAAGAGAACGGAAAGAGACGACAGCAGAACGATACACCTATTCGCACACACAAAAGAAGGATACCGGCTTATCCCCGGGCATAGGGATGGAAGCCGCGGTGTCCTCCTCGTCCACCTCCACGATAATTGGCGCCTGGCTTGCCAGCGTTCTTGGGTCCTGTGGGAGCGTTCGCCGGGGCAGCGCTTTGAGGTTGCGGAGTGGGTCCTGCATCTGGGTCAGCTAGCGGAAAGGCAGACATCTATAATCATCACATACCGCGTCCCATGCTTCCAGCACGATTCATGGCCTGGGGTCCAGTAGGAATGTTAGGCTGGGGCACTTCATCGTACATGCCTTCCCACGAAGTGGGCCCGCCCTGTTGGTACGGCGAAAAGGCCCGGTTTTCCATGGCTCGGCGTACCTGCTGCTGCTCATACTTTTGCTGTTCAAAAGCAATTTGTTCCTGGGCGTTATAACCAGGCCCCCCTCGAGGACCAGTAAAGTTCCCATTTCCATTAGCACTGCCTGGTGTTCCTCCACCACTACCACTACCACCACCACCACCACCTCCTCCTCCTCCCATAGCATTTCCCATTTGGGCCGGCATGCCCCCGACGTTGCTGCCCTGCCCTTGGCTCTGCATCTGCTGCATCTGTTGCATTTGCTGCATCATAGCGGGGTTCATCATGTTCGGCATGGCTTGAGGAGTTGCGCTCTGCGAAGGAGGACTGAGACTGCCTTGAGGCTGATTGTTGCCCATCTGCATCTGTTGCATCTGCTTCATTTGTTGCATTTGCTGCATCATGGCAGGGTTCATTCCACCCATTCCCATTCCGCCCATTCCCTGACCCTGAGCGGCGGCGACAGCCATCTGCTGTTGCATCAAAGCAAAATACTGCTGCATCCTTTGCCAGTACTGTGCCATCATTTGTGGTGTTAATCCACCAGCCATGTTGGCCTGTCCCGGTGCACCCGCTTGCTGCTGGGAACCATCACCCCCCATTTGACCACCCTCTCGGAAAGCGTCCCTGCCGCGGCGGAACCTGCGGTCTTCCTCATCACGCAAGTTGCCTCTTGGCTGAGCTTTCTTGACCTCTATGGGCTTCCCGCAGATCTCCAAGGGGCCCGACAGAGCGGCTTCCACGGCAGCCTCGCTATCGAAGGTCACAAATCCGAAGCCACGGGGACGACCAGTATCCTTGTCGATCATCAGGGTGGCATCGATGACGCGGCCAAATTGAGCAAAGAATTCTTTAAAATCATGTTCGTTGGCCTCTTGGCTGACACCACCAACAAAGATCTTGCTAGTCTTCTCTTGCTCGTCACGCGGGATCGCACGCTTAGGATCGATCTGTCATTCAAAAATAAGCTTATAATTCGACAATGGTCTGCGTGTTAGGATGAAAGAGGTTCTTACAATCTTCCCATCTAGGTAGTGCTCCTTGACCATGACAGTGTTCACTGTCTTCGGATCTCTGAAAGTCAAGAACCCAAAACCTCTAGAGCGACCAGTAGCACTGTCTCGCATCACAGTGCATTCCTGTACCTCTCCAAATTGAGAGAAGTAGTCCTTCAGAGATTCTAGGTCATTGTGTTAGACATGCTGTACTTGATTTGAATAGAACTGGTAGTGTTTGGAAAATACATACGATCCGTAGTTTCCCAGTTCAAACCTCCGATGAACATTTTCCTAACCCATACCGATATCAGCAAAGGAGGCCACGCCACGAGGGCTTGAAGAAAGCAGACAAAGCAAAAATAGAAGGGAAAAAAAAAAGAATAGAGACACGAAGAACGAGAAAATAATCTTGATATCAGAGGCGGGCATAAGTAGTAGACAGGTGGACAGGAGCTGAGACTTTGCTGCTGGGAGGTGGGGGGCTGATGGCCCATGCTTTTGATAGAAACAGGCACTTGTTCGGGGAGGCTAATTGTGAATGCTATTAAGCTGATCCTGAAGTTCCGGTCTCCCTAATATGGGGGTATCTAACTCCCTGCGCTGATCGAGTAGTGTCTGTTGCGCGAAGGGCATAGGTTGTGCTTGAGCAAAGTCAATCATGGGACTGATTGTAGTGACAGCCCGTGCATGTGCTTCAGGTTTCCTTGAAACGGGCCGACTTCCGAGTCTTGTATACACCGACCGGGGTGGCCAGAGGGCGGCTGGCTAATGAGGACAGAGATATCTCTAGTCATTCGACCACTGGTTTACGGGGCGACCCAGTGGATAATAAAAGGCCAGGCGAGATGTATCCCACGACAGAAGAAGTGCGCGTGAGTGACAAAAGAACCACGGGTTGGAGCATGGCAGGCGGATTAAGTCAACTTTCTTTTCTTTTTGTTCTTGTTTCCTTGGACCAAGGATCCTCTGCCTGTCTGTCTAATCATGTCCGAAGCTAGGTAATCTGATCGACATTGCCCAACCAGACAGCCAAGGCTGTTATTCCTTGCTGTGCACTATCAAGCTATATCGACAAGAAGCTATATAGTATCGGCTGTACTATAGTCGCTCGCGACAAGGGATCGCAGTGTCAGGAAATCGAAGTAAATCTCACCGCGGAAGTCATACCGACGGTGGATTGCTGAGATATAAACAAGTCGAGCACGGCCGAGGTGGATTTGCCTTCGCCCGAGTGATTTTGATATCCATACCCAAGAAAGAGCCTGAAAGCTGCATGTCCAAGGCTATCCGAGAATTCGTCCATCTAGCAACAACGATGACCCAACCGGATAAGACCTCGACTTAGATTAAGAACCTCATCCTTCTGCCCATGACGCCAAGCCCGTATATCTTAGTAGAGCCCACCCCAGGAACCATTGGCCCAGCCGCTGAAGATTTTTGATGCGCAGCTTCCAGCGCCCAACTCACTAGTTACGTTCACGGTGCACAGCAGGAAAGGCGGTACGTGTGCGAATATCACCGGCATTCCCAACCTACCATGAGCCATCCCCCCCAGAGGATAGAAAAAGAACCCAGCATAAGTGTGAAACGGGGTCCATTTATATCGCGCATGAACACTCACGTGTCCAATTGCAATCAAGGTACAAGCAAGGAAAACGAAAATTGCACGAAGTCTCTAACAGAGGTAGCACTTACCCGTCTTCTTTAATACCAGTGCCTCGAGGCTCGGATTCACCACCACCAGACATGGCATGATGTGCACGTCCAGTACCTACATGATCCGTGCCGTTCTGGTGGACTCCTTGATACGGGTGATGGTATGAAGCGTCCGTCTCGAATTCGATCGAGCCAGTTTCAACAGACTGAATAGGGATTTGGGAAGGATTGATAGGTGCAGCCGAGGGCATAGGATCGACAGATTTTGAAGTTTCCGTACTGGGTATGGTATGGCTTGTATTGTCGTCGGCTTCATAGCTAGAAAGAAAACATAGAGTTTAGAAACTGCCTAGACAATCCCGGTAGAATGGAGCACCGTACAGATCCGCGAAAAGATCTTCCTCAACGTCCTCGGGTTCAGCCATGGTGATCTTGTAACAGAGAAATTCAGGTAAGAATCAGGTCGCACGGAGGACAGGAAAGAAAGGTGATCAAGGTGACCAACTCTGAGATGGAGGCAACCGAGCCAGTCAAATCCGACCTAGAGAGGTATCAACGAACCGATGGCGACGAACTATTATCGCCAAAATATTGCCTCGGTGGAGATGGTAAGAAAAACAACTAGTTAAGTAAAGAGAAGGAAAAGGAGAGCAACAAGAGCAAGGGTGAAGTGGGTTAGTTGTAGAGACAAGGAGCAGAGAGGGAGGGAGAAAGAAAGAGGTGGAGGAGAGGAGAGGAGAAGCAGCTACACGGCGGAGGTTGAGGCGAGAGCGACGGGGAGAGAGAGAGAGAGAGTCAAGAGTGACGGACTGGCTGACTGGGCAAGTACGCTGTGCTGGTATTGTAAGAGATTCCCGTCGGTAATAATGTGTATTGTACTGTAATGGATCCTGGCCAACGGTAAGGAACCTTAAAAGTACTATGTAGTAGGTATGAAATTATGATAATTCAACCTGCAAGAGTAAATGGATGCATATTGAAATTTTTAAAATTAAAGAATACTCATTATTTATGACTATATGTGACTCTAGTATATAGATCTGCATTTTAAATTATCGGAAAATATACTCTACCAAGATCTCTCCATTTTGGGAGGTACTGCTTCCTCACAGTACCTGACGAAAGCTACCAGGTGGGTATTGTCCGTAAGGGCTAGTATCAGTAGTCAGTAGACCTTTACGCAAGACCTTATCGAGTGTTATCCCCCGACCAGCAAAACATCATCAGAAGAACTACGAAGTAAGTATTATGGCATGACAGACCACCAACTCCAATTACAATTACCCTGATTCCTCCCCCGCGCAGAGACCTGTAAGCCAAAAAAAAGTAGATCAATCCAGATCAACGTTGTTCTTTCGGGGTGTTGTTGCTGGGAAACCCCTGCCAGCTTTGGACGCAGCACCGAATCCACGTGCCGCAGCCCTCCCCGCACTCGGCTTCCGTGCTTCTCTCCATGTTATTCGATCCCCAAGACCTGCTCAATTGATGCTATCGTTGCCTCCGCACTCCTTAAAAACGCAATGGCTGCGAGGAAGGGCCAACAGGTGAGTCTGACCTTAGCTTCATAAGCCTGATTTCTTTCAGTTTTTTATGCAATATCTAGCTAACCCAATCGCTTTTGACTCTCTGTAGGAGATGGTCCAGGTTGGTTCGTACCTCTCACACCCCCGTCTTTTGGGTTCCAGATCCAGTGGCTGATATAGCTCCCCCACTTCCAATGAACAGACCGTGCTGAGTATGTTTCACTCCCCATCGCTCAATTTCCCATTGTGGACCATTGAAGGCATCTCATAGCATCTATTTTTGAGTTTCTCGCGCTAATCCTCCCCTGAAAGGCGGGTGAATTCGCCGTTCTGGAAGGGAAGATCGGTATCCCATAATCAAGCGGCCTCGACGCAACATGAGCAGAACACGGTTGTTGGTGCCTCATACTCGCACGCTGACATACTAAAGTTAGTACATTGCATGTCATTTGGTTTTCTCCTCTCTTCGCGCTTGGCTCTTTCATTTCATTGACCTGTGCGCCTCCCCCAATAGAGGGATCTCGCAGCAGCATGCGCGCCCGCGGACACCGCCTCGGTCATCCTCTGCCAATATCCAACACACGTCGCTTTCACCCCTACGGTCGGGCGGGTGGTCTACGTCCCCTCATACTACTTCCTACTCTGACATAATGAATGGCGGGATCGATTCCTGGGGCCCCGACCGATTGGGAGAAGATTACGAAGATGAAGAGGGGGAGGAAGACATTGTCTACGATGACGATGAGGACGAGTTTGGTCTCCCTAGTATTACCAGCATGCGGAAGAAACAGTCGCAGCGAGCTGGCACTTCTCAGCTTAAGCCTGCTGACCCAGGTGGGGGGCTTGCTAGTACCGCCTCATCACTCGGGGTTGGTTTAGGAACCAATCGGCAACGGGCCAATAGTTCGGACATCGCTGAAGAGCGCGGTGTCCCTATGTATCCTACTGCTGGAACTGGGGAGGGTAAGATACTGCGACCTCAGTATAAAGAAATCCTGAAAGGTATGAAACTGTCCTCGTTATAACGCTGGAACGTACTAACCTCTTTTTTTTTTTTTCAGACCCCGCCAACGCCTTGAACCTCATAAACCACGCGCCCCCTCCCAAAAATGCATCGCCCAAAGAGCTGGATATGTACAACAGCCGCATTTCGAGAATAAACAAGTTCAAACGTCTTCTCCAGACAAGCACCGTTCCCTTGTCAGATCTGAGGAATCTGGCCTGGTCAGGGGTCCCCGATGAAGTTCGCGCGATGACCTGGCAACTGCTCCTTGGATACCTCCCCACGAATAGTGAAAGGCGCATTCCTACCCTCGAAAGAAAGCGTAAGGAATATTTGGACGGGGTTCGACAAGCCTTCGAACGCGGGAGTGCGGCTGGTTCTGGAAATCCGCCTTCGTCGAGCGCTGGGCGTGGCAGGGGCCTGGATGAGGCAATATGGCATCAAATCAGCATTGATGTTCCTCGGACTAGCCCTCATATTCAACTTTACAGCTACGAAGCTACTCAACGATCGTTGGAAAAGATCCTCTATGTTTGGGCTATCCGACATCCGGCGAGCGGATACGTGCAAGGTATCAATGACCTCGTCACACCGTTCTGGCAGGTCTTTTTGGGCACGTATGTAACTGATCTTAATGTTGAGAGGGGCATGGATCCTGGCCAGTTGCCCAGGAGTGTGCTGGATGCCGTGGAGGCAGATACGTTCTGGTGTCTTACCAAGTTACTTGATGGTATTCAGGACAATTATATCTATGCTCAACCGGGTATTCACCGACAAGTTAGGGCACTGCGTGATTTGACGATGCGCATTGATTCTACACTGGCCAAGCACTTGGAGCAGGAGGGAGTAGAGTTCATGCAGTTCAGTTTCCGGTGGATGAACTGTCTTCTCATGCGTGAGATGAGTGTACAAAATACTATACGGATGTGGGACACGTATATGGTGAGCAAACCAAGGTTCTCCCTATTGCACCAGATGTAGATCAGGTATGCTGACCATATCATTAGGCAGAGGAGCAGGGTTTCTCGAGGTTTCACCTATACGTTTGTGCAGCCTTCCTTGTGAAATGGTCAGACCAGCTGGTTAAGATGGATTTCCAGGTGGGTATAATTTTAAAAGGTTCTGGATACCGTACAGTCAATGCTAAACGACAATAGGAGATAATGATGTTTCTGCAAGCACTTCCCACAAAGGATTGGACGGATAAAGATGTGGAACTCTTGCTGAGCGAAGCATTCATCTGGCAAAGTCTCTTCCAGGACTCTAGGGCTCATCTTCGTCCGGCTGGAGAACGAACTCCAGAGGATGACCTGCAGTGACGACAGTCATGAGTCATTAATAATATCACCTGTTTCATTAGTATATGGCGTTCCGAAAAGGAGACGTAATCTCCGATTCCCAGGCTTATTAGCCTCAGCTGAAATGGAAGCCCTTCTGGTTGAAGGCCCACAATAACTTCAGGAAGTCGTTTTCATCGCACATCCTTGCACGCTTGTCGGCAAGGCGTGTTTCATCTTCCAACACCTGCCGTACCTTCTCCCGGACGAGCTCTGCTACCTTTCCCTTCTTCTTACGACTAGGCCGATTCTTAAGAGCCTCTTGAATACGCGCGTTCGTCTGTTCCTTGAAGAAGTCGGGTACGTCGTCTTCATCGTCCACGTCCATGCCCTCGTCAGGCTCGTCTTCACCCTCATCATCTTCCTCGTCTTGCGCGTTGCCAATGTCCATCGCATCAGACTCAGCGCCTTCCGCCGGCCCATCCTCAACTGGAATATCGTTCTGCGCACACCATGTCCGATAATTGGCTTCCAACATATCCATGACTGTGGACTTGCCAAGGAAACTTGACCGGATTGTCTTGTTCTTCCGGACGAATAGGATTCTCAGAAGCCCGTCCCACTCATCATAGTTGATTTGAGGCCTGGGGTTCTTAGGTACCAGACGGACAACGCTCGACTCGACCAGCGGAGGGGGCTTGAAATTGTTCTTGCCCACCTTCATGACGTGGTCGATCTTAGCCCACATCTGAGCATTGACAGAGAGTCGACTGTAGAGCTTATCACCTGGCTTAGCGAACAATCTTAGAGCAAACTCTCGTTGAAACATGAGAACGCAAATGCGGGGCGCCGGAGATGTCGCGAGAAGTTTGAATGTGAGGGGAGAGGAGATCTAGCGGGCAACTAATTAGCCTTTCTTCCACTTCGAAGAGATAGATAGAGTATAGAACGTACCTGATACGGCGTGTTACTGATGCAAACATCGAAATATGGAAGCTCTGTTTTGATCACGTCTCCAAGGATAACGTCTAAGCGTTTCTGGGCAGGTGTGCCTTGAACACGCTTGGTGACTTCAGCAGCCATTCGAGGGTCGAGCTCCACGGCGATAACTTTCTTTGCCTGTTCGAGGATCTTCACGGTCAAGTTACCGGTACCAGGACCAATTTCGAGAACAACCTATACAAGAAAGCCCCACCCGGGTTAGACAAATCCGTAGAGTACATGGGACAACTATGTGGGCAACTTACATCGCTCTGTTTCAACTCGGCTTTGTCGACAATTCGTTGAGCCACGCCAGGGTTTTTCAGAATGTGCTGACCGAGATCGGTATTCATTTTGAAGACGGTGTTGGCGGCCTTCGTCTTCGCCGCCGCATCGGCATAGGGACTGGCCTTCGAAGCGCTATTGCGCTTCTGCTGTTTGACCTTAGGCATCCTGACAGATTGAGTCGCGAGGCCTCCAAATGAGCAGTCCAAATCCTCACGAGACAACCTTTTTTTTTTTGGAGAGGTATATCCTGAACGGGTTATCGCTTCTCTGTCTCTGTCTTTGGGCTTGAACAAAAAAAAGTGCGGAGGGTTTCTGATAAGATTAGCGGCTCGGAACTACGTTTCTGCGGCTGCCCGGCGTTTCGCTCATCGTCGGAGGGCTCTTGCCATCCGCATTGCTCTTGCGAACAGCTTTCCCAGCTCTTCCTCAGTCACACTCCCGGTTCCCTGGTCTGTATACCTCGTTCGCCATGGCGTCTGGGCGTAAGGACTTTTTGAGCCAAACCGCTCCCGAGAACTACGTCGCCGGTCTTGGTCGCGGTGCCACTGGCTTCACCACCCGTTCAGATCTCGGACCCGCGC